CTCTCTCTCTTCAGCTGTACGATCTGCGCTGCTGTGAACTACTGACGGAGCTTCTTCTATCTCCCCATCCAGAACCTGTGCCCTTGGTAAATGCGCCAGCACCCGCGCGAACTCCACTAGCTCCGAATCAGAATGTCAACCGTCCGCATCCGACTACCGAACTTAATCCACTACAGCGACGTATGACCATCCTGAACGAAGATAGACAAGGAAGGTCAACCGACGAGAAGCGACATTTTGTGGCGACTCATCGGTCAGCCTCCGTGTTGTTCGCTTTCGATCCACGCTTTTTACACTCCCGGATTGCTATTACCAATGTGAATTTTGTGGATCCTCATTTTGATGGATCTGCGTTGGAGGCCCGAACAAGCTTGACTCTGATGACCCTGCCCACCTGGGAAAGGGTCGCAACAACCACCAAGTTTAAGTGCCCGGTGTTGGCCAGTCGCAGTCCCGCTTCGGCCGGCACGTCTTCTAGATCCGCCACTGGCTCTTGTCAGCAGAGTCCTTCGAGTACAAGTGTATCTGGACGTGTCCTACATCGGCACAGAGCAGCCTCAGAGGCAAATCAGCCTATAGATAGGCAGCAAACCCACTGGCCTACTCTGGCCTCTCCTCATATTTTAAGCATATTCTATTCGCGAGACGGATACCTTCTGTTTGTAGTCTCCACCGAAAGTCGCGTGTGTCGATGTTCCACAATAGGACACCACGCTTCTTCCACCAATGTCAGTACTGTTTTTCCATTCGCCTCCTCAGAGTCTGTGGAAGATCGTGAGGATGTAGTTATTCGTTCATCTCCTGTTCGCGTCAATGCCACAGCCAATCATGACGGCTCTCGAGCCCATCAAATACATCGCTCGGGAGCCGTCTCGTTCTGTCTTCCATCATCCGAGAAGACAGAAGTCTCACAAAGACACAGAGACCCGATTGCATCACATACATCCATGCTTGCACCAACTCTTCCAGGTTGTATTACTTTATGGTTGACCATTTTCAATTCAGACACACTGTCCCGCCTCAGAACTTTACGATTCGACCGACCAGTCTGCCCTGTACACACATGCCCCACAAACTATATTCCGGTGATGAGCCGATGCGGGTCTCGTCTGGCTCTCATCACAAATCAATATGTTTCCCAGCATTTGAGTAAATACCGTTCAGGACTATCCGCAAATTGTGTGGTCAACACGGGCGTGCTAACTCCGGCCTCCCTGCGGCACTCGATACCCTCAGTCAATGTGGATGTTTACGCACGGACGCATATGAATCATTCTCGTCACCCGGACTGTAAGGCTGGCGTACATTGTAGTAGTTCCCAGTTGACGCCAGATAAGCAGGTGAGCTCTCGTTGTTTTTTCTTCGAATTTCGTATGTTTTATGAGCCTAGTGTGTGTCTCAACTTGATCATTCAGGTGATCTGTCAAGAGAGCCCTGGCTAATGATCATCCGAAATTGCGGGCTGTTGCTCGTTAGTACATTGAGCAGCACTGGTCCTTTTTTAACCTGTTGAAATTTGTAACTTTTTTGTAAATAAGACTTGGGATCACTATCGCTTTCTAGAGCTTGTGCACACCATGGTGTTCTAAACAATACAATCTCTCAAAGGGAAGAGAAATATCCAGTTCTTCTTTGAGGAATGGGGTTTCGTCAAACGGTTTCCGAAGAGCAACTGTCCTCTTGAAAAATACTATCTATCGGTAGCTCAATCCTTACGAAGTGATCTCGGCTGTCCGTACTAATGCTTTCGCATAAATTTATCTGTTCTTAAACCTGTACTGGTGACTTACTGGTTAGCTCACAGCATTGAGCTGTTACCCCCAACTTTGTCATCTTCCGAAAATCCGCGGGTTTTGTTAGGTTACAATATCCGTCTCTCTGTTCACTAGTCTTACTGAGAATTCGAGATAGCTCATTGGTTAAGGCGCTAGATTACCGACTAGAAAGTCCGTGGTTCAAACCCATCCCCGGCATCTCGACTGCTCCTGTCT